TACCTTTCTTTCATTGTCCACAACCCACTAGTAAACTGTTGTACACTTAATTGTTTTATCGTAGTGAGGCATAGGCTTTTAGTGTTATTAATATCATGATGTCAAAGTTTTAAATTACATAAGTGTGTGGATGGCGATTGCTCTGGTGTGGTTTGCTTCTTCTATCTTGTTAAAACTCCATCATCCTTATCTCCCCTCCTCCGTTTTTGTATGTTACTCTCTAGCAACACCTCTAGCCTTCGGCACTCATTTGACCTAAGTGTGTTGCAAGTGCCGTAAAGCTATTAAGTGTACTAAAACTATAACAAAAAAAGATAACGGTGACATAGGTGCACTTAGTTGAAAATGTTGCATTATGATCTGCACCCAGACGACTGGAACAGTTTGCACCTTTTTTTCCGAACTGACCTTTGTGTCTGAGGTATAGCGTTTGGGCGCTTCGTAGTCGCACACAGGAGACCCGTGTAATATTCGCAAGTGTGGGGATTTTGTATCGAGTATTTCCTTCTTTGTACTGGGATATTTTAACTTAGAGCTGGTCCCGACAGACGAGGCAAAACCCCGCCTCCCATAATGATCTTTAACGATGTCGATGGGATGGGGGTGTAAAAAATACACCTGTTTGTAAAGGCCGATTATAAATTTAATAATGTTCAATTGAACAGGGCTTGACTGAAACAGCTGTCACCAACGCTTGTCTCAACGTGTGTCCTTCACAGGTTGTTTTTTTGTGTGTGGCTTAACGTGCAAACACATTGGATTCGCCTTCACCACCGTTTTTGGAGGTATCCGCCTTGCCTCCTTTTGTGGCGAATGTTGCTTTTAATCAACAATAAATGCGTTGCGCGCGCTACACTGGGTTCGCCTTTCAACCCTTTCGCCTCCCTCCTCCATACTGCAAACAAAGTGAGGAACCGTCAACTAAGGTATGCCCTTAAATTTCATTAGCCTCGCTCGTTCCCTCTGTGTACATAGTGGTATTGTTGGGTGCTGTCTGGCATCACTTTAGAAATTTTTTTTTCTTTACGTAAGGTCCAATCTTACCAAGGAGAAGCCGGAATGCAACACGTTTTCATTTTCAGATAAGATTTTTTTTTTAATCGCCATTTCTATGAACATTATCCACTAAATGATGATATTTGCAAAAAGTAAATGTTTCTCGGAGTTCATTGATTCTATGAACTCAATAATATCAAAATGAAATTGGACTTCGTCGTTTTAACTAATGCAGCAACATCAGCTTCACAGAGCAGTAAGAAAAGGATGGGGGGAGGAGGGCGAATCCACTGTGTCGCTTCAAGTCCCGTCACATTCGCCTCCCTTTCCCCATATTCTTTTTAGTTGGCGAAAAGGGGGGGGGGGGAGGCCAATCCACTGTGTTTGTACCTTTAAACTAAACATCGTCGAGCTTTTATGCCACATATGGATCTAGTACACTGAGGCATGACCTTCCTACCAATCTCTTGGGTAACCGTAAGAAAGACGAAACAAAAACCAAATAAAACAGTGGAAGGCAAAACAATACAAAAAAAAAGAAGAAAATTTAGCGCTGGCGTGTGGGTGTAATGGTAGAGGTTTTTGAAACTGCTAGCAGAAGATCTGAGTTCAATTTCCATGTGGAGGTGATCTTTGTAATTGAGTGTCTACGTCCGTTCGCTGGTATGAGTATTTCTTAAGCCCAGATAGGCCCTGACAAGCAAACACTGAAGGAGGGGAAACCTTCACAGTGTCGATTGTGGCGCTAAGGTGTATACATTTTATATTGCAAGTTTTCAACATGCAGCTGTTCAACTGCTCTATACCCAGGAAGCAAAATGTCCTAAGAAGGAGAAAAGGGCCGTTTTCATTTTTATTAAAAGCATTTACCGTACCTATATTATGATTTTTCCCCTTCTCTTTTTAACAATGTTAGTTTGAGTTTCAACACAATATTTTTCTGGAACTTGCATATTAAATGTCAGATAGAATGTTGTAATTCTGAGGTACTGTCTTGTCAATGCCCATGTGATCCCATGGGCCCAACGCTCACCAAAATTACCAAAGTGGACAATAAAACATCTCCCAAGTTGCCAGGCACTGAAACATTTACTTTTTGCTATGGGTATATTAAGCAATTGCAATAATTTTAAAAAAATCAATGACAATTGTAGGCTTAGTAGGCCTGTATCTGAACAGCTGGCCGTCGAAATGTAAAACACCCGCGTCTCTCGTGCTGGGGGAGGGGGGCTCACATTGGCCGTATTGAACTCTGGAGAGTTAAAAATACACCACCATCCCCAACGCCATCACCAACCCCCCCCCCCAAACCCCCCCCCCCCCCTAAAATAAACCAAGCCGCGCTGTCTTTCCCCAATCGAATTCGGGGGGAGAATGATGGAAACTAAAACTCACGTCTTCCGCGAAAAAACATTTCCTGAGAATGTGCCCCAAAATAGGCTCTCCACCGAGATAATCAAACTACGTAGAGAAATGGGGGGACCAGATTGCCCACTGACACAACCTGAGAACGTTTTGGAGGCGTTCTACTTAGACTTAACCTGTCAGAGCCAGCCAAGGCAAACAAGCGAGATTCGACCCCCAATCAGGTAGCCGGAGATGATCTATTAAAATATCCACACTCGGGTATCGAACTCACATTTTTTGGCCCTCAACATGACAGGGAAGAGTCTAACCCAGTGCCTGGCAACTTGGGAGATATAATATCGCCCACTTTGGCCATTTTGGTGAGCGCTGGCATCACGTGGGCATTGACAAGTCGGTGCCTCAGAATTACAAAGTTCTATCTGTCATTTTTGGCCGTTATGAGTAACTCAGATCATGAGGTCAGAAACCAAATGTGAGGCAGCGTGGTGGAATCAGGCTTTCGTCAAAATAATGAAACCGAAGAAAACAGCAGTTTTCTCCCTGCTTAGCAGTTTATATCAAATTTCTGTTTTTTTGGCTCAACACCTTTTATGTCCATTTATAAAGACATTTCTTTGAGGATTTCACCGAAAACGTTGATTAAAGGCACAAAAATAGAAATTTACAGTTTTCATGGACTCTCTGGCTTTGGAATTTACCAAGCTTTAGCGGGCATTTTCTGGCTAATTTTACCTCTTAAATCAGGTGACCCCCACCTCCTTCAATCCAAAATATCTCCACTTCAATTGGAGAGGGATGGGTAATTTTTTCATTGAAAGCGAAACAAATGAACAAGCTTTAAGATGATACCAATAACTCAATATGGCCACAAATTGACGAGTGCCTGATTCCACCACACTGTTTCACAAATGTTCTATCAACTCTATCAAAATCGTAAAATTATCCGCAGCCGTAATCGAGTTATTCAAAGAATTGCATTCGAAAAAGCTAGACGTGAGGTGAAGCTCAACATCTCCGACGTCAAATTTCTCAAAGCTAGGTACTGAGCAGATAAAACGTTGTTATTCTGAGGTAGCAAAGAGTTATTTATTGCCAAACTTCGACGTACCGAGAGGTGGGTGGTACTAACAGTGTAGCCTTTACAGGAAACAAACGTGGGCACTGGCTACAAGAAGGTTGACAAGCACTGGCCTATAAGTTACACCAAGGATTCCAGTGAAAATTTTAAAAAGTGGGTGACACTTAAGGGAACAGCTGAAGGAGCCCCGTTGACACAATCTGAGAACGTTTTGGAGGCGTTCTACTTAGACCTAACCTGTCAGAGCCAGCCAAGGCAAACATGTGAGATGCGACCCCCAACCAGGTAGACGGAAAGACAATTTCAGATATTTGCGATTGAAGGAGGTGGTGGTCACCTGGTTTCAGTGGTAAAAATTAGCGAGAAAATGGCAGCTAATGTTTGACGTGGAACTAAAAGGGGTTGAATCAAAATATTTCGTCGAAACACAAAATCACATTGTTAAAAAAGAGAAGGAAAAAATCCTAATATAGGTGCACCCTAATCAACCCATTTAGATAATATAGAAGGCGGGCTGCATGTCAAGGCCAACCCGGGCTAAGAGGGACTCATTTCAGAAGAAAGACCGAGATATTTACCAAAAGTTGTGTCCCCACTCGAGAGTCGAACTCAGGTCTCCTGCGTACGACAGCGAAACAATAACCGCTACACAACAGATGCCGGTCTGAAATTCTTAGAAGGTATTTAAAATCATGTTAATATCATGTATCATAGGACGAATCCTATGTTCTAGTTCTGTGGCACATTCAGAAGGGCAAAGAATTATGAAGGAAAGACAAGAGAAATCTATGAAACTGTTGATCACACGTATTTAGTTCATAAAATAGAACATGATATACAAACAAGTACAAATTCAATAATTAGAATAATAATATCATCATAATCAAATTTATCGCACCACATCGACTGTTTAGACCAGCCAAGCTTGATACGCACTTTTTAGTCATTTTGAATAATTTAACAGTAAATAATAAGTTTTAAAAAATCAGTATGTACATGACTTGAATTCGATTTAGCAATGGCTTGTATTTATGGTAAATGGCCATTTACTAAGAAACTCTGTGACTCTGACCTCGCACTGTATACCTTTGACGTCCAAACTCTTTCAAGTACGCGAAGAAGGCAGTTTTTCTTGCAGTGGTTTATGGGAAAGGCAATCGAATATTCCACACGAAATGGCCAGCATGTTCGGAGAATAAGGGTTGCGGGGGGGGGGGGGGCGTACATTGGGAAGGGTGTCTGGGGAAAAACCTTTGTGTCACAACGCGGTGGAATTAGGCGCTCGTCAATTTTTGGACAAGAGGAGTTACTGGTATCATTATAAAGCTAGTTTATTTGTCTTGCTTTCGGTGAAAAAAATACTCAAATGTCATAAATAAAAGTCGGGGTATTTGCGATTGAAGGAGGTGTGGGTCGCCTGGTTTCAGAGGTAAACATTAGCGAGAAATAAATGGCCACCAAAGTTTGACGATTTCCCAAAAAAACACGAACATATGTGTTTTTAAATGGACCTTAAAGGTGTTGAGTTAAAAAACAAAAAAATTCGAAAAACATTAGC